ACATCAGACTTCTTGCTGACAGTGGCTCGGATGAGTTGGAAGAGCTTCCGGTAATTACCAGATGCAGCTGCTGCTTCCAGCTCATTAGCACGCTCCGACCACCAGGTTTTTCGGTCCTTAGGCAAGCTTAGCCCGATTTCTTTACGTGACAGCCTTCGTTTATGATCAAACTCACGGTCACCCGGAGTAGACCGACGGGCTTCAATGAGTTGTAAGGAACCTGCAGAAACCCAGTGCTTATAAGCGGGACGTTTCGCGAACCCACAACTGACTGTACCCGCCATTTTCATGGCGTCATGCAATTGCAACCAATGCTCATCTATACTTTTCGGTGGAGTGGTAGCTAGCCTAGAGGCTAGCTCGGTTCGACACTTACTTGCAATAGAAGTTGCGACCAACTTGCTGACATCAATCCGTTGGTGGCGGTCACTTTGTTGTCCACTGAAAAGTAAGGTAAGATTGGCGCAGACCAGGGCATGATCAGAGTCCAGATAGGCACTCCACAAGGAGAGGCAGTCTTGTACACAACCACGCCAGCGGTAGCTGATCGCGATGTGATCAATCTGAGTCCAGGCTTGAGATGCAGAAGGAGGACGCCAGGTAACACATAGACGATGACTGTGCCGAAAGTTAGTGCTAGCTAGAAACAGGTTGTGGTCTGTGCACAGTTGCAGGAGACGGTCTACCTTATTTGTCCTGAGACTAACAAGTCCCCATAGGCTACATAAACGGTTCTCTTCTGTGCCTAGACACCCGACCTGAGCATTCAAGTCTCCGGCTAGTACTACAATATCGGTCGAACGCATTTTCTGGAGAAGAACAGATAACTGGTGGTAAAACTTATCCTTGATTGCATCCGGGCTGCAATCTGTCGGGGCATAGGCGGAGATGACGAAAAGACATCGTTTCTCACGCCGATTTCTTCTCACTTTGATGGAACTTTCTAATCTAACAGCACATAACCGACTGTTAATGGGGATCCAATCGACTAGTGCTGCCTCAGCTCTAGCGCTTAGTGCGACACCAACGCCAGCAAGACCAGACGAAGATGCCACAGGGTCCCCGGATAAGCGCACATAAAACAAGCTTTTTGAAGTGACAGATGTAGAGTGAATTTGTAGTACTTCACCAGAGTCTTGAATACGGGTCTCGGATAGACAACAAACGTCGACATTAAGACTTTCAAAAGACATAACCAGCCCTATCTGTTGTCCAACCTGCATAAGTGTGCGAACGTTGAAGGCAGCCAGTTTGAATGGTGCACGTGGTTTCAGAAAAACTGCTTCAGTACTCATAATCGGTGGTGACATACAATTTTCAACCGGACAGTGACTCGAGAACGTTTAGATACAGTCGGATTTCCACCAAAGACGAGCCGCTGTATAAGTATAAAAGAGGGTGAAGAATGTGGAAAATAATAATAATAATGACAATAATTGTAATGATAATAATTTGAATCAATTGATTGTTTTTCGAAGCGAGAAAATTAATTTTCATAGACATAGAGAGTTCATCATTTGTGTGTGATGTGATACTGCCCGGGTGCCCAAACCGAAGCAAGTGGGGGCCACTCCCCGAGCCTTTGACCTAAAGGTCTAACCCACAAGTCAGTGGAGCATCGTGAGGAGATGCAGCCCCCTGGTAGCCGGTGACCAACAATTGGTTCATACGCCATTTGTTCCCGCAGGATACTGGAGCCCATGTGCACCATTGGTTTGGGATCCGGTTAAAGCGCCGGACATTCGCTTTTCATCCTCTCACTTTCGTAAACAACACCCTCGTCACGAGAAGGCAATGAGTAGGACTTCCCTGGCAGATGCTGTATACGCGCTGCCGTGTGAAAGTATTCCGAGAGGGAGAGCGGACTCTCCCCACTCTCGGCCGTACCTTATGGTTCACCTTACTAACAGATGTCATTCTGTTTCCACAGCTTTTCGGATATCATTCCATGCTGCCTCGGGGTGGGCATCACATACATGGCTGCCTAGCTGTTTTCCTAGTTGTTCCTGAAATATACTCTTAGTTTGACTATCGTTAAGTAGGGCCGTAAGATGTTTCCTTGCAGCGTCTTTCTTACGTCCAGTAAGACGCAAGCAAATACGCGCTCGCACTAAAGAATGATCTGAATCTAGGCATGTGCTCCAGAATGAGCGACAGTCTTCTATCGAGCCCCTCCAGCGGTCGGGCTACTTTGCAGCTGACTGACTGTTTGAAGTGAATTCTTAGCGTTGCTATTTTGGTGGTCAGTCAGGTGAGTGACTGGACGCTGGTTGAATAATATGATATACTGATGAGTGCGTTGTTGTTTGTCAGTTCTAGTGTCCGACTCTACGTTTGGGGTGTGCGTATGATCTTCAATGTGACCTAAACAAAATGTAAACCCAACATAATTTAGTTGTCGAAGAAACGGTCTTAGAAGGATTTTACATTTTGACATTCAAATGTGCATATCTCAATTTCCTAACAGGTGAACAATGTATGGCCCGCCGTAAATATGTGCAGATCTTAGTTTTTCAGGTTCACACGTGCACGACCGGACGAAGTCAGCGATGCAAAACCGAAAAATCAGTTTTATTAATATGGTATCTGAAATGTTCTTTTAGGAATTATGGACGTGTCTAGATAGCACATCTTTGATTTGTCAATAGAAATGATTAAATTTTCGGAGATATCTGATTTTAAGAGGGTTGATAATTTCACACTTTCTTCTCTGCTTTTATACTACTTAAAGCTTCAGTTGGTCAGTTTTCACTCGTCAGCAATAAATACTACCACTCTTTTTTTTCCATCCAGTCCTAGTGTTAGCAAGTAATGGCCAGTTTGAAGTTTTCTAGAATAAGTTTCGCAGAATATCCCAGCTACCAAAGTCGGTGTCAGTTAAATTATCACCACAGCCCCTAAAAATCTTGTGAAATTTCGGCACTAAGAACACGACTCAATCGCTAGAGCAGTCTTTCGTAGATAATGAAGCTCGAACACAGTCACCAAATATCCCAGAAATGGTCGAATTTCACAGATGTTGCGTGGGATTACTTCCACCTGACCTATTCCATCCTGACTAATATTATGACGTCAAAGGTGCGATAAACCGTTTTGGGGTTTATATTAGGTGGATTAATCTCATATGCCACAACATAACCAGTACTTGTACAGCTGCTTCAGCACAAGAACTCAACAGTTTACTACAAAAGCCAAGTAAATACTCAGAATTGTTATTTATTTATATAAAACATTACATCCTTGCAAGCTACTACCATTCTTGAAGAACTACTTTGCATTGCGAAGATACTAGGCGTACTTATGAACGCTAATTGCTAATAATGAGATAAGATTATTATTTTATTACTATAAATTGCTCACTGAAGTTCAACCTGGGAGGATTTGTGAGTTTAGTCCGTGCAGATTTACACGACGTGATAAGTTAAAAGTTGGTTCTAAAAGTAGCTAGTTTTGACACTTGGGATTTAAGAGACAATATATTTCTTGGCGACCAAAACAATCAGAAGTTTGAAGCATGCCTATAGATGTGCGGAATCTAGGTACTTACCTTAAGTGGAACGGTAGTCTTTTTCAGATCTGACAATGAACAAATGGTGATAATATAGTCGATTCCAGTCCATCCTTGCGTTGCAGACGGACTGGGAAAGATGATGCATAGAAGCAGGTTATGCTATGTAAAAAGTTCCGGGAAATGGTCCCATTACTTAGCTTTGGATCAACGAGTCTCCATTGGACACAGAAACGTTCTTGTTTGTTTCTAAACGCATTTCTCACAACAATGTCGAACGCGCTTTTCTGGAAATTCATTTTTATAACACCTGAACTAGTATCCATCGAATTATAGGCGAAGACTATAAAGTCACATGGTGATACGTTTGTACGCTTTACTAATGAATCGCTACGTCGACTTCAGTATCGTGAAGGAATCCGTTCTTTCCACTTCTTCCTACCCCCTAGCCAGAGTAAAAACACCGGCTTTACAAATAATGCTTTTTGATTTTGACCCAATATGAGTGAGCAATATACATTAAGTTTGTCGATTCATATTGTCAATAAAAAAATAAATAGGATATTCGAACTGAGTATATGTTCAGATTCCACATCCTCAGCACATCGTTCCCCATGTTAGTTTCCAATCTTTTTAACGAAATCTTCTAATCTAAAAAACAAAAAAAATTATTGTTGTCTTTGCTCTAGCTCTTAATGTCACACCGAACCTGTCCAGGGCTTCGACTCTACGGAGTTTCTCGATAAAGCATACGTTAAGCGTTTTCAATCGAGCGCATTCGTAATACTCCACTAGAACCTTGAATATTATTCTCAGTTACACAGCATACGTTAATGTTGAGGCTTCAGTGACAATTAAAACTGTCAGTTGTTCGATCTGCACCAGTCGGTGAGTGCTGACGGTAACGAGCTAAAATAGCACACATGGTTTCCTAGTTGTGTCAGGTTTGTTTAGCGACAGCGCATAACTTTTAACAGTAATTAGGTTAAAGATTGAGATTATTATAAGAAAACGTACAATAAAAAAGTAGGACATCAAAGTGAAATGAAACAAATTTGTTTTCATATCTTTCGAACACAACCGTCTAATATAATTGAATCATGGTCATTTCTGAAGCCTCATGGATATACAGATCCTAACAGGTGACTTTCTCAAAGAACCTTTGTTCCTGGCCTTCGATTTAAGTCATTGAAGCTCGTCAAATGTTGCCTGGTGGTAGTTGGTTCTTTACTGCAACGTTGTAGTTTAATTATTTGAAAGTGTGCAAGTATTTAAATTTTCCACTTCTTTTTCAAAAAGTGCACATCTTAATCGTCATGTAGATTGTATCCCACCACTTATGTCAGTGAAATGTATCTATACTTCCACTTTCTGTTCGTTCCATTTGTGCACTAAAACAGAATTGATACTTAGTTTGTCTATCTAAACTTTATTTCAAAACGCAGATATATTTTGTCAAAATAAACTTACATACGTCATGACTTTTACTCAGGTGTCATCATGGAACAATGTGTAGCTGATTGTCTTAACAGTGATGACTGTGTGATGATTGTATGGTCGGGCGAAGTTCAAGAGGACGTTATGCGTGGTCTACAAGTGGCTGTTTCTACATATGTTAAGAAGCTGCAGTTCGAAAATCTGGAGAAATTCATGGACATTTCAACTGTAGATAGTCAGTTTCACGATTGTTCTGTCATACTATGTGGTTGGCCTAACTCGATAGGCGTAAACATACTCAAACTTGGCTTGCTATCAAACCTTTTATCCTGTTTGCGACCTGGTGGGCGATTTTTCGGTCGTGACCTAATTACGGGTGACTGGGATTCTTTGAAAAAGAACCTAACTCTTTCTGGGTACATAAATCCTTACCAGGTATGATTTTTATAGTATGCAAAGTAATAGCTACAGAATTATGTGTTATAGCCTTTTTTATTTTACAAAATCGTACATTTTCAGAGTTTTTGTTTCAAATAAAGCAGCAGTAAATCAAGCCTATTTTTTACGTCGTTAATATTTTCACGCATATGTGTATCTCATTTAGTGTATCATAAGTGATTATTGAAGTCGAATAGTAAATAAAGAATTGTAGTGACCAGTATCTCCATATAAATGTTATGTCTCGGTAAGGATAATGAATGGTAACTTTTGTGATCCATTTATGGACCAATACTATGCACATATTTTTGTCGTATAATTGTTAAATAGCTAAACTATACATAATCATGTCCCTCTTATTACGAGCTTTATTTTGACCTATGAACTATTATTATACGATTTCCCATTCTTGAATTATGCCCTGTCTATTAATTACTACCTCTCACACTCACAGATATATTTGGCCAAATCTTGTATAAATGTTGTTTCCTATTTTATTGGTACGATGTGGTCTATCTGGTTGGTATATAAACCGAGTATGCTTGAAATAAGTGATTCATATCGCAGAGGTTGACATTGGTGTTCTGGACTGAACTGGCTGGGCTAGGCAGGGAGTAGGACCGATAAGTACTCTAGAGCCCCGAAATGCCGTGGTATGGCAGAGAGTATGGTGGGCCCGACTTACCTCTCGAAATGCTCTCACACGGTCACGCGTATACAGCATCTGCCAGGGGAGTCCTACTCACTGCCTTCTCGTGACGAGGGTGTTGTTTACGAAAGTGAGAGGATGAAAAGCGAATGTCCGGCGCTTTAACCGGATCCCAAACCAATGGTGCACATGGGCTCCAGTATCCTGCGGGAACAAATGGCGTATGAACCAATTGTTGGTCACCGGCTACCAGGGGGCTGCATCTCCTCACGATGCTCCACTGACTTGTGGGTTAGACCTTTAGGTCAAAGGCTCGGGGAGTGGCCCCCACTTGCTTCGGTTTGGGCACCCGGGCAGTATCACATCACACACAAATGATGAACTCTCTATGTCTATGAAAATTAATTTTCTCGCTTCGAAAAACAATCAATTGATTCAAATTATTATCATTACAATTATTGTCATTATTATTATTGTTATTATTATTATTTTCCACATTCTTCACCCTCTTTTATACTTATACAGCGGCTCGTCTTTGGTGGAAATCCGACTGTATCTAAACGTTCTCGAGTCACTGTCCGGTTGAAAATTGTATGTCACCACCGATTATGAGTACTGAAGCAGTTTTTCTGAAACCACGTGCACCATTCAAACTGGCTGCCTTCAACGTTCGCACACTTATGCAGGTTGGACAACAGATAGGGCTGGTTATGTCTTTTGAAAGTCTTAATGTCGACGTTTGTTGTCTATCCGAGACCCGTATTCAAGACTCTGGTGAAGTACTACAAATTCACTCTACATCTGTCACTTCAAAAAGCTTGTTTTATGTGCGCTTATCCGGGGACCCTGTGGCATCTTCGTCTGGTCTTGCTGGCGTTGGTGTCGCACTAAGCGCTAGAGCTGAGGCAGCACTAGTCGATTGGATCCCCATTAACAGTCGGTTATGTGCTGTTAGATTAGAAAGTTCCATCAAAGTGAGAAGAAATCGGCGTGAGAAACGATGTCTTTTCGTCATCTCCGCCTATGCCCCGACAGATTGCAGCCCGGATGCAATCAAGGATAAGTTTTACCACCAGTTATCTGTTCTTCTCCAGAAAGTGTGTTCGACAGATATTGTAGTACTAGCCGGAGACTTGAATGCTCAGGTCGGGTGTCTAGGCACAGAAGAGAGTCGTTTAGGTGGCCGATGGGGACTTGTTGGTCGCAGGACCGATAACGGGGACCGTCTACTGCAACTGTGCACAGACCACAACCTGTTTCTGGCTAGCACTAACTTTCGGCACAGTCATCGCCGATGTGCCACCTGACGTCCTCCCTCTGCATCTGAAGCCTGGACTCAGATTGATCACATCGCCATCAGCTACCGCTGGCGTGGTTGTGTACAAGACTGCCTCTCCTTGTGGAGTGCCTATCTGGACTCTGATCATGCCCTGGTCTGCGCCAATCTTACCTTACTTTTCAGTGGACAACAAAGTGACCGCCACCAACGGATTGATGTCAGCAAGTTGGTCGCAACTTCTATTGCAAGTAAGTGTCGAACCGAGCTAGCCTCTAGGCTAGCTACCACTCCACCGAAAAGTATAGATGAGCATTGGTTGCAATTGCATGACGCCATGAAAATGGCGGGTACAGTCAGTTGTGGGTTCGCGAAACGTCCCGCTTATAAGCACTGGGTTTCTGCAGGTTCCTTACAACTCATTGAAGCCCGTCGGTCTACTCCGGGTGACCGTGAGTTTGATCATAAACGAAGGCTGTCACGTAAAGAAATCGGGCTAAGCTTGCCTAAGGACCGAAAAACCTGGTGGTCGGAGCGTGCTAATGAGCTGGAAGCAGCAGCTGCATCTGGTAATTACCGGAAGCTCTTCCAACTCATCCGAGCCACTGTCAGCAAGAAGTCTGATGTGAGTGAAACAATCTACGAGGATGATGGGATGCCAATCACTAACATCCATCGACGTCTTGGACGATGGGCAGAATTCTTCAAAGTGCAGTTCAACTGGCCTGCTGCTCCGACAACATCGGTCAGACTGTCCTGCCCTCCATGGCCGGTGACGACTGATCCACCAAACGAGGAGGGAGTCCGCAAGGAACTCCAGCTCTTGAAGCGTTACAAATCACCTGGCCCAGATTACTTACCTCCGGCTCTTTTTAAAGATGGTGGTGACTTTCTGACTAAGGAATTGACGACGTTGTTTACAAAGGTTTGGGAACTAGAGAGTGTACCAACGTCATGGAATGAGTCGATAGTTGTCCCTATCTTTAAAAAGGGTTCACGTCGTTCCTGTAACAACTATCGGGGGCTAAGTCTACTTCCGATTGCGTCCAAGCTATTGGCTTTCGTCATACTTCGTAGGTTGTTCAAAACCCGAAAAAGATCAACTAGTGAGGAGCAGGCTGGGTTTCGTTCTGGTCGAGGATGTATTGATCATATCTTCACCCTCCGCCAAATGTTAGAACACCGCCATACTTATCAAAGGCCAACAATCGTAGTGTTTCTTGACATCAGGGCTGCCTTCGATTCGTTGGACAGGACTGCTCTCTGGGATTGTCTATTGAAGAAGGGTGTGCCTGAGAAGTTTATTAACATCCTAAAAGCCCTATATAAAAACACCTCAGGCAGAGCGAGGGCATACAACCACCTCTCTCCATTGTTCCATTCGAGCAGTGGGGTTAGGCAGGGTTGCCCAATCTCACCATTCCACTTCAACGTTGCTACCGATGACGTTCTTGAAACAACTCTGTTGAATGTAAGTAATGGTGGTGTGGATCTGTTGCCTGGAGAAAGACTTTTCGACCTTGAGTATGAGGACGATATTGTCTTACTGTGCGATAATGCCCAAGTCATGCAATCCGCACTTAAGCAGTTGGCGATCAGTGTCCGTAGGTATGGTATGTGCTTTGCACCTTCGAAGTGCAAAGTACTTCTACAAGACTGGCAGGATTCCAATCCTGTACTCACCCTGGATAGTGAGCAGATAGAAGTAGTCGAGAAGTTTGTGTGTCTAGGTAGCTGTTTAAGTGGTGATGAGGGTGTGAGTGATGAGATCAATGCACGAATAGTGAAAGCCAGAGCGGCTTATGCCAATCTGGGCCACCTTTGGCGCCTTCGTGATGTTAGTCTGACTGTAAAAGGTCGAATCTACAACGCGTCGGTGAGAGCAGTTTTGCTCTATGCTTGTGAAACCTGGCCTCTCCGAGTTGAGGACGTTAGACGACTATCTGTGTTCGATCATCGTTGTCTCCGAAGGATTGCTGACATTCAGTGGCAACATCATGTCAGTAATGCAAAGGTTCGGTATCGTGTGTTCGGGCACAGAGATGATAATTCAATTGGTGTCACCATCTTGAAACACCGACTTCGGTGGCTGATCTGGGGACTTGTCGAGTGAGCAATAAGAGAAATTATAACAACGTGACTGTAATGAATTCTGTACAAATACTTGATAGATTTGGAAAATATCAACGGTACAGCTTTTTATCTGTACACAAAGATGTTCAATCTTTTTTTACCTTTTATTCACATTTCAGTTGTCATGTGAAAACCACTTAATATTCAGTGCCTCTGTTCCGTCCAATTATACGCAGGGTTCTAGTGTCAAACTTCCATGGGCTAACAGTGATGTCGAGGCGGCTTGGGAAAATGTTGATAATACATCTGACGCCAATGGAAATATTATAAATACAAATGCACTTTTGCAAAAATCAGATTTGAAAACTCCTTTGGCTGTCTGTGGCAAAGACCCTGTTACTGATTCAGATGGAAAAAAGAAACGGGCTTGTAAAAACTGTACATGTGGCTTGGCTGAAATTGAAGCAGCGGAAGAAGTTAAATCTGACGTCCCAATATCGTCCTGTGGAAATGTAAGTCATGATTATCTGTTTTACTTCCGAGAACATCATAGTAAACAAGTAGTTTGTGATGATAGTGTTATAGAAAAACATAATGTTAGACATTTTTTAAGTTACAAACGACACGATAATTGTCGCCTTACTGAAATATAGGCTGGGAATACTGCAAACACAAATTGTTCTCGAACTTACCAAGACTTCGTCTTTGACCAATCTTCACTGGATAATGTATTAACCCGTTACTTTCGGAAATGGTCCAGTTACACAAACCACTTTGAGATCAATTTCTCGGTTGTTTTTAAGCTTGGTACTCAGTCGCATGTCCGAAGTATGAAGCACATGGGCTTCAGGTTGCTACTAATTAGCATATTCCAGCTTTTGTAGCAAGAAGTACACCTATAACTCGCGTTCTTTCTTATGCGGTCGGAAAGCAATGACATCAGATATTCATAGCCTCATCGTAGAATTTCTTGCTTGCACCTATAATTTCAGTCAGCCAGTCAGTCAGTCAGCTACAACGTAGGATCAGGGACATATATACATCGGTCAAAGTTGCCATACCTCATTAACACAACACGATGAACACGGGATTCATAAAAGTAGTTAATTCAGAGGTGGTAATATATAAAAGAAAGATTGCAATAAGGATATAGTACAGGAAGAAAGAATTAGTTCGCAGAAAGAAAGATATGAAGCGATTTTAATCTCTTAATTTAAGGGAAGACAGGGAGTGTATACACCGACACCATTGTGATCGATTCTGAGCCATGTCACCAAGAGTCTCCAACCATTGGTTACGATAGTCACGCGGACCCCAACCAAGTAGTCTGCATCTCCCAACACGGCTCAGACTAGAAGTTAGTGACTTCATGCACTGATGCCACGTTTTGGTTTGGCCGCCCCTAACTTTCTTCCAACCATCTCCAATACCGGATAGCATTGCACGTCGTGGTAATCGGTGTTCAGGCATACGTAACACGTGGCCCAACCATCTCAGTCGATGAAGATTCATAACCTCATCAACTGATTTACCATCATTCCCTAATACCCTGCGTCTAACCTCACTATTACTGACCCGGTGATCCCAGCAGACGCCAGCAATATTTCTAAGGCATCTGTGGTCAAATACTAGTAGCTTGTGAGTGTCTTCTACTCTTTATGGCCATGTTTCGCTGCCGTAAATTAAAACAGAACGAACTGCCGCGCAGTATACTCGTCCTTTTATTGATAGACGGATATCTCGCCTTCGCCATAGCTGACGCAAGTTGGCAAAAGCCAAACGAGCTTTTCGAATCCGTGCTGAGATTTCGTCCGATACCAACCCATTAGGGCTGATCAGACTTCCAAGATAAGTGAAGTTGTTGACGCGTTCGACTACTTCACTCCCTATCATCAGTTCAGGTGTTGACGCAGACCAGTCCTGAAGCAACAACTTGCATTTAGATGGAGAGAAGCGCATTCCAAACATTCTGGCATTGTTGCCTAGTGCTACCAAAAGAATTTGCATTTTGTCAGCGTCTTCACCAAACAGGACTATGTCATCTGCGTATTCCAAGTCGAAAAGTGGACCTCCTGGATGGAGATCAATACCCGAGAATTCAGTCGACGAGAATGTTATTTCCATCAGTAGATCTATGATGAAGTTAAACAAAAATGGGGAAAGTGGACAGCCTTGACGGACACCACTTGTGGTTGCAAAATCAGATGACAGTTCACCGTAATCCCTGACTCGACTGGTAGTGTTCGAGTAGAGAGCCTTCACAAGTTTTATGTACTTCTGGGGTACGCATTTCAATGACAGACACTGCCACAGAATCTCGCGGTCAACAGAGTCAAATGCTGCTTTTAAGTCGAGAAAGACCACCATCGTTGGACGCCGATAAGTATGCCTGTGTTCTAGAATCTGACGAATGGTGAATATGTGGTCGATGCAGCCACGACCAGATCTAAAGCCAGCTTGGTTCTCTCTTATTTGCAGTTCACGAGTCTTAGTTAGGCGTCTGACAATTATCGAGGCTAGTATTTTAGATATTATATTAGTTAAACTAATCCCTCTGTGGTTGTCACAGGATGATTTTGACCCTTTCTTATATATTGGGACGATAAGTGATTGTGACCAGTTAGATGGAATAACGTCTAACTCCCATATTTTAGCTAAAATATTAGTCAACCTAATCGCTACAATTGGACCACCATCCTTGAAGACCTCTGGAGCCAATCCATCTGGACCAGCTGCCCTTCCTCGTTTCAGATTAACTATATCCTTTTGAACTTCTGCTAGAGTTGGGGGACCTACTTCAATATTCCATTCACACTGTCTGGGAGTGGAGGGTAGTTGTAGAGTAGCTGAACTGTTCTCTGAAATGTTCCGCCCATCGTTCTAAACGCCTGGACTGGGAGCAGATGAGTGTATCGTCTTTTTCCGATATAATCTCACTTACACTTGACTTATTAATTCCAGTTTCTTTTATTAGTCTGTAAAGCTGTCTTGTGTTCCCTATAGTCGCCGCCTTTTCCATCTCTTTTGCTTTTGTTGCCCACCTCTGCTCACGGTCGTTTCTTAGACTTTTTCTTAACCTAGATCTGATTTGTTGTCGCTCTTCATCATGTTCGGAACCTGATGGGACGAGTTTGCGAGAATCCATCAGTGTGATAGACTTTGAAGAAATCCACTGGTTCTTTGAAACTCTGTGGTTTAAGTCACTAATAGATGTCACTGCTGTTTCCACAGCTGCTTGTATTTCATTCCAAGCAACATCTGGGTCAGCCTCGTCTTCAGAACTGCCTAATCGTGACCTCAGTTGTTCTTGGAACCTATTTTTGGTTTTCTCGTTACTCAACTCAGTTCTAGTGGGTCTTTTTTGCGTTCAGCGAGGCGCAAGCAGATGCGTGCCCGTATTAGGGCATGGTCGGAGTCCAAGCAGGTACTCCAGAATGAGCGACAATCTTCTACCGCCCCTCTCCAACGATGACTGATGGCAATATGGTCTATTTGATTCCATCGTTGGTTTGGTGTAGGGGGTCGCCATGTTAGACGATGTCTTTCCTTATGCTTAAAATTTGTGTTTGCTAAAAATAAGCGATTGTCTGAGCACAGTTGCAGCAGACGGTCACCATTATCTGTTCGTTGTGCCGGAATACTAAAATACCCACCTAAATGCCTTTCTGTTTGGTTTAAACTACCTATCTGGGCATTAAAGTCACCCCCTATGAGTACTGTCTGAGCGTTTAGCTTTCTGAAGAAGTTCGGACAGCTTTCTGTAAAATTCATCTTTCACATCATCTGAGCTGCAGTCAGTGGGAGCGTAGGCAGAAACCATATATCACCCAAGGTTATTCTGAACAATATAGTTTTTTTTTTAGTGCAAACCTTTTATGTAAGTCAAACTGAATTCATCTAATTGCGCACTTGTTTTCACAAAACAAACATGTTGGCATTCATATAATAATCGTCTGAAAACCATATTTCACTGCCTAGTTGTGCGCTTATCGAAGAAATTTAAATCATATATAGAGCTCAGTGGTGGACCGCTGGATTGTAGATCCAAGGGTAACACATAAGATTAGATATATACAACACATATTCCTGACTAATTCGATTAACTTAAAATCATTTTTTTCATGTTTAGTGGATATTATATATTTTGTGTAGTTCATTTATTGGTGCTTGTTTTTGAACTGTATTTATTAGTTTAATTTGTTTTATTATTTTCAACCGTGTTTTAAAATACCTTTAGTGTTATCTCGGGGATGCTTTCCGATGTTCTACATGCCCTTACCGTGGGCTTCCACCATTTAAGCCTGGCGAAAGAATTCTAATACCGGATGATGTTTTGAAAGCTGATTTGTGACAGACGTACATACACTTTGCAGACTAGTCTATTGTGAATCTCCATATGTCCTTACTGTTATAACAAACCATACTTCTTGACTTTCTCGATGAATTTTGTTATATTTATCGTCTTCACCAAACATTTCAAATAGTATAACTTCTTACTTGGACTGAGTGTCTATGATATACGTTAGCATGAAATTAGGTACTAATGCTAAGAAATGTGGTTGGTATCATAAGTTTAGCCAGCACAGTAAATTTATCACTAGTCATATGTAAAACCTAACTAACAGAGAAATACGTAATATGTGCGCAACTGCATATCAGACCACACTATCTCGTCTTATAAAATAGCAGGTTAACCCATGAGATGAGAAAGATTTATGTAAGTGCTGGTAAATGCATTCATCCTTGACGCACATAAGTTACGTCGTATGGTCGTTTATTTGCTCTTTATTACGTTTGTACGAGTAAAATTGAGAATGGTAAGCACAATTTTTACATTCGTCAGATCAGTTCAAACATGTTTCTACATATTTTAAAACCTCTCATAGTCATCCTAATTTATCCAAAACGATAATGATGCAAATGGTGTACTTTTTGAGATTGATAATTTATTGTTTGTTCAAGTCGCTGCACGAAGAAAATGGAAAATTGTTATAATCAAAGGACACGTATTGCCTAGAAGAAAACAGTTTGATATTTGCCGTAGGTGTTAATCCCAATGGGATTATCTCATCAACAAATAGATCTAGTTGCCCCACTTTGTCTACTTCACTAATATTTTTTGCGATGAATGGGTTTAAAATGCACATGTCTAGCGAATGTTATTTAGCACTACCTGGATTATCGGTGATGTATCTTAATAAGAAGAAACATATACGGCATAATGTTTACGTGAATGTGATCAGTAAACAAAAATGATATGGTGAATTTGGAATTAAGATTAATAACACTAAAAATACGAAAGTTTAATATCAAGAACCGTTAGTAGTGGAATACATAGAAAATAATTTATCCAAAGAAACTGAAAATACAAATTCTATATTATATATAATCCTCATTATCGGATTCCGAGTTTGTTTGTAGTACTGATTTGTGTTCGACAAGGGTATCTTTATCAAGAGACGGTACATGATCACCAGGTGATTCGGGAGATTGCTCGCTCTGATCATACTGCATAGCGAATTCAGTGTAAAATTCATTGAAATCGAGTCTGTACAAGAAGGAGAAATGTATCACTGTCAGACCAGAAAATAAATTATAACAGGTTATTAGATAATGTTAGACGTTTTAAATCACAAAACAAATAAAAATTCTTTGATATGTGCAACTATATCGATGTATATACGTAATCACTAACAGTCAAGCAACAGAGGTATACTAACCAATATAAAAGTCATCAAATGGAGAAAATTGATGAATACCCTTAGAATGTTTTGCAAGTTTACATGAGTACTTATGATGTGTTTGGAATTTCCATGTATAAAGGTTTACGTCTCACTACTACCAACACGTTGTTTGGGGGTTTTACTACCGCATATGAATAAAACATCAAGTGCGATTGTTGGTGTTAGCAGGATAAAGTTACATTCGTCAAGCTCTATTCGGAATACGACAGATTTATTTTCAAACAATCATTGCTACCTAACGAATCAAGGAGATGCTAATAGATCCCTATGCGAATCCTATATAAACTAGTGTTTTTACTACTGTGTTTGTTATTCGAATTTATTGGAATTTACATTGCTCTTTTGTAATTCTTAAGTTGGTCAGAGAAGATCCGAATAAACTAGTTTTCAAGGGATACTATGTAGTGAAAGAACATAAAATATGCAATTGCAGAAAACGAAAATCAGAGTAATAATATATAAGAAGAATTAACTAACCTTGATACTAGACTTAACAGTTTACTGTGATGCTTAGCATATTGTTTGATCTTTTCAAGCAGTTCAACTAACATTCTGTTGAAATTTGTATCAAAGTTTGTAACCGTTTTAGCCATATCATCTGACAAACTCATTCTACCAAACTCTTCTCTAGTAACCTAAAATTATAGGGGAATAAAATTACTATGTACTTACTGATGGACATTGTGTCAGTGAATATTATGCAGCAAAAGCACTCGTTGCAATCAGAATATTTTCCAAATTTACAGTTTCCAGTCATGATGTTGAATGTACATAAATTTGGCTGCTTTAAATTGAACATTTATGTATTAAAATTATGCAGAATAAAGCAATTTTAGTGTGAATTACAACTCCCATTTGCCTATATACTAAGAATGATACTATTACTTGAAGTTTAAGAAGTGTTACGATTTAAGTAATCTTGTCTGGATCTGAGACCATTCATTAAGACAACAGTAGTTCATTATTGCCATATATTCAGATAACTAAGTATTACACATGAATGTGAATAGTTCCAAAAACATGCGTGGCGACTTGTAAATATGCACATAATTTCAATGTTCTGCGATAATATATCTATTTGTCTAAAAGTTTTGTACAAGTAACGCAGGAAATAAATGCCAAGGCAAACACATATAGTTCAACATACATAAACCGAATATGCTTTCAACATGACAAAGCAGCTGCTTCAATGGTGTCAGAACTTTCAAGAAATATGTAAATATATGAAGAATATCACACTCGAATTGATGTTTGCAACTACTTGGATGATCTATAAAAAGGGACTGATTACTTCATTTCTGTCTTGCAATAATAAAACACAAAAATTGTCAGGTAATGAAAGATCAATCGGCTACTTACCTTTGTCATCATAGATTCTACTGAACTAGTGGTAGATTCACGAGGTGCATATTTTAAATCATTCTTTGTTCGACCTAAATTTGATGACGGTGTTGGATCGTGTAGGTAAGGCCTTTCCATATCATTACTATGCCGCGATAAATAAACAATACATTGATCATTATCTCCAGATGATGATAAATTGACTCCTGTTATAGAGAACGCCAAGTGTTGGATAAAATTAGCAAACGTTACACAGGCTACAGATAATTTTCCAACTAAACTTAATAGGTCAGGACTAGCTAGTAAACAATCATCCATACATACTTCCAAAAAATGTAGATGTGAGTCTAAAAGTAAATCCAAATTAGATACCTACCGAAGAATGAACAAATTAGAAATTCATTATGGTAAATAATACAATAAAAATGTAAGCAGGACGTGATTTAGATTACAGACAAGTGTCAAATTAACTAAAGTGTAAACTGAGAAATACCACCAACTAGGTAGCAACGTTTTACAGAAAATTTATGAATCAAGTCTGAAAAAATTGTGAAGAACAAGTAATACAGATCAAAGGGTGTTGCTATAGTTCCAGTCTGACTAGTTTGATTGCTCCATTCCCCTCAACAAAACACTTTTTTGATACAAGTCTTGTTTTCGTGGCTAGCTTTAACAAAATCTTTATTCAGTGCGAAAAATCCAATGGAATCGTTAAAATGAATTAACGTTCACATTTATGAAAAACAAAATTTTTCGATTATCACAATTTTTTATGATTCAACAGTTAAGCCGCCTTCATTGTATGCCCAGGTTAATATTTTGTGATTTGTAAGTAGTGTGCTTTACATTTATCTCTTGTTGAATATAGCTATGTTAATTTCCTTTGTGCGTGCTTAACGACTTGGATACATGGAAATGATGTATGTGTATATATAACAATAAAGGAATTGGCAACAACATACTTTGTCAACGCGTTTGAAAAAATTGTGCCATGCTGGTTCAATGATCTCAACAGACATGTAATATTGGAAATGTTGAATAAAAATAAGCATCCGTTGGGCCAATAGGAAAGCGGTTGTAAACCAGGTAGTCATAAGGTTATCACATTTACGAGCAAGTTTGCCTAGAATCCATGAGCTGAAATGATAGTGAAAAGGTTAGACGATAGTTTACAGTAACTTATTTCAAGATTATGCTTTGAATCAATATATACCAAAGGCTTAATGCCCCAGCAACATTTAATTAGAAATGAATATTCACGACAAAAACAGCTTTCTAACTGATATAACGGATGGTCCAAAATATTTTCCTCACAGCGTATGCTGCACAAATACGTTGATACGATAATGAGACTGGTCAAGTTATATCGTATACAAGATTCACAACCCAGAATAGAGAACCAGATTAACACTAAATGATATTTTATTCAACAATTACAAATAGATACACTCAGTGAGTCCCGAGTCTAAATCAATAATAGGAAAGAAAAACACATATTTAGTAGTTAGTAGGAGAATTGCCTGTTTGTCCAAACTCAATGACCAATCACATTTTCTCCTCACTAACACATATCACTAAACTATTCACAATCCGTAAAAATGTGAATTAAACCAAGATTTTGCAGCTATCCATGAATGACAACTTTTAAACATCCCAGACTTTATTGTAGAAATCAGTTTGATTATTAAAACGCCTACGCGAGGGAAATGGTCCATTTTTTATTTCGCTGAGTTTGACAAATACCTGGATAATATCAGTGATATCCGATACACTCACAAGTTATAATTACAGTTGGGCGGTAGCTAATGCACTTGACTTTCCAGTTCAGCGATCCAAGCGACGTAGTTAGCCTTCACACGGTAATGTGGATTAAAGCGGTGTACACAAACCGGTATTTGGTTGCTGGTTTCTAAATGTGTTTAAAACTCACGGTCATAATTTTCATAGTTCAGAGATTAGTGGAATTTTCCGCGGTAAGCATGTATTCATAATTCGGCTTAAATAATTTGTTTACAGGTGGTAAACAAAATGAAAGGAAAGGTGCTAACATAGTATTTCTTACTTGCATAGTAATCTCTCAACATGTTTGCAGTATAAAAGATGACGGAAAAGCATTTGATAGCGATCCATTACTTGACGATTGAGCACTAAATCAATAGGCCAGCCAACTCTATAATCCAAACAGAAAGCCTCTAATCCTGAAAGATTTTTATCCTCGATCGGTAAGACGTTGTCTAAGTCACAAAGAAATAACATTAAAAATGTATGTTTATTACGAATATTATTAATTCACTTTAAAAATACTGACTCTGAGTTATCTGTTGTCACACAGAAGAGGCGGTGAACAATATGTAGCGAGACGATACCTAAAATTGTAAACGTCCTGCTACACTCTATATGATCATACTGATCTCTG